AAAATTATATATTCTGTCATTTTTATCTTTTCCTTGCTGCAACATGAGGTGTTGCCTGCATAGTCATTCTGTTCCCTTACTAAAACTTATTGGAATTTTCTCAACTCATGATACAGGAATTATGTTATCCAATTCATAATAGAGTTAAAGATACCCTCTGTTGCTGCCATGTTGCTCTCTCAGTTTGAAAGGCATTATGCATACCTCTCAAGGCAAAAGTTTAGCAGTCATGTTATTGAAAAGCTCCTAAAGTGTTTTGAAGAAGGCAGATCGAAAATCATCAATGAGTTAGTCTCAGAACCTCATTTTGATCAATTGCTGCAAGATCCCTTTGCTAACTATGTGATTCAGTCTGCACTTGGCGTTACTAAGGTTAGCATTTGAACTTGTTATGTTTCTGTACACTTACATGTTTTAAACTTCTTGTTTCCATATACTTAGGTGCTTCAAGCTCTTAGTTAAGACCAAGTCTCATTAATTTTAATGTTCAAAGTAGTTACATAGGGGCAAATTTGTTAAACAAAACCAGGTGACTGTTTCAGTAATTGCATTCTTATTCCTTGTACCTTTTACGTTGAATCAGGGACCGGTTCGAACTTTGTTGCTTCATGCTGTGCGGCCTCACATGCTTCTCCTGCGCACCAGTCCATACTGCAAGAAGATCTTCTCTCGTCGACTACTGAAGAAGTAATGCTCCAAGTGAGAGTAAAATGTTGTTGTTCTCTTACTATTACCTTATCTATTTAGGTAACTGGATGTGGAATGTATCTTATCTATGATCCTATTAAGGTGATCAGTAACATATTAGACTGTTGTATGTCATGCAACAATTTTGGTTGATGCTTCTTTGTATGATGCTTTTTTTGCTCAAACTTTTGGATGTGTAAGATTGTAAGGGATGATGACAGTCTTTCGACTCATCTTTAATTATTAAGCTCCTGTTTTATGTTGCTGGTTACGATTTTCATGTTTATCTGGTGTTTTTAACATCAAGGGGTTAGCTTTCTCTTGCAATATGCATATATTGAAGTAAGGCGAGTTTAAATGAAGTGACATTGATAGATCTCAACTTGCTTGAAACTGAGGCGTAGTTGAAGATATTGTAATGGATACAAGATGAGAAGTAATTGATGCAAATTATTAGAAAATATTTTCAGACAGCACAAAGATGCATATTCAAAGTTTCTCACACGAAGAAAAGGACTAAAAGCTCATGTGAAACAGACCACACTCAATCATCAAACAGATGCCAACTCTGAAATATATGGGAGATGGCATATTTATTCTGGTCATTATAAAACAGAAGTGACCCAATCCTCCTCATTCCTCCTCTTGTCCAAGTAAAGCCACCAGCATATTCTCATAATCTCCTCCTGTATCTTTGGCAATGGCGCGACCCAGAGGAATGCTATCCCTCTTCTGGTACTCGTTAGCAATAGTCTTCAGATCGACCTCAGCCCTTGTAGCAATAACTCGGCTCAGATGATCTTCCTCTGTTCCTCTCCTGTTAATTGCATCACGAAGAACCTCCACGAAATAGTGCTCAGGGTAGACAAGACCTTTTATGGTGGCCCTCAATAGTGCAACAAACTCATCCTCATCTTCCAATTGCTGCACATTAACAAAAGAACTCAACAATTCAATATAGCAGGAATTAAAAGCCAGTCCTACAGTAGAAAATCGTATGACTGAAAGAAATGGAGCAACGGATGCATCTGTACCTTTAGGATATCCTCACCATATTCATCTTTGTAATGATTCAAAGTAGCATTGAGTTGCGCTTTGCTCCTTGTGGCTAAAATTCTAATGACCTCATCGTCACTGTAAGCCTTATCGGAGATTTTCTCATGCAGCACTTTAGATTCTGCTTTAGCAAGGCGCAAGTCCACCTCGTCTCCTCCATATCGGTAGGAGCTCACAAGAGGTACCAAAAGCTGAAAGAAGTTGGAAACTTAAATGATCAATGCACAAAGTTAATTCACTGTCACTATTCATCCAAACAAGCATGGAGTTCAATGAACATTAGATATAGCCTACATTGCAATGTGGCACAGAGACATTCTTGCCTTGACAATATGTTACAATAACAAGAACTATAGAATTAAAAAGTTGTACTTTGTCGATTATCTGTCCTTCTCGACCTCCAAAAAACAGAGCAAATGCTTCATAGACACCATTCAAACCTCATGTAATTTGACAACAACTTCATGAATTATTGATAAAGACTTGGATACAGAGCTACAAATGAGACTACTTGCAACTAGAGTGCTTTGAATGATATACCTTGCGGTGATCCCCAGTAGTGTGATAAGCAACGTCCTCTTCGAGAGATTTCTTGTTACGAGCATGATAAGCTTCCCTTGCCAAAACCAGTTCTTTAGGAGATCTAGTACAAGCTATCTCCACAAGAACAAAGTTGCTTTTTGTCCATCTCTTAGTAGCTTCCTTAGCCAAATAGGCATCACGTTCTGACGGATCCAGTGTCCATATTAGCACCAATTTCTGAGAAAAGCATTCAAGAAAAACAAAACACAAGTGTTGGTTAGCATTTCTAATCAAAGTCCACATACAATCAAAATGTCAAAACGGTGAATCCAGGATCTCGAGTCAGTAGGTTCAAAACACGTGTGATTTTATTACACATGTAGACATTTTCATATTTTGACATACTAATACATATTTTTCATAGATCTGCCTCTGATCACAATCGAAGTTGAATCCATAATCTAGAGTCACTGGGTTCAGAATAAGTATGATTTTATTATATATATATATATATATATGATTCATGTCATAGATCTGCCTTTGATCACACAGAGTAACTCAGAAACTCAATGATCAACTAAGAATTCAAACATTTTTTTTTTCTGTAATTATGAAAATAACCTCAAAATCATGGGTAAGTTCTCTGTCCAACTCTTTAAGTAGATCTTCCCCAAAAGTCTCAGCATAAGTCTGTCGAATCAATTTGCGTTGAGCAGCATTTCTATGAGCCAAAATTGATATAATCAACTTCTCGTTCGTTCCCCATCCTACAACAATCAATTCCAAAATGATCATTCCAGAAGTTTAACTTCAGTCAATTTTGAAGTTTACATCACCGATCAATCTAAAAAATTAAGATCTCTATAATCGCAAAAGATAGTAAACAGAATCTAGAATATGCTAGAAAAATCAAAGTAGTGAATCTGTATATTCTTATGATAAGTTGCTGAGAGATCCAATGGTATATAAGTTGACTTCAATACCTTTGAAGGCAGATCGGAGTTGTTCACAGTCTTCAGCGACGGAAGGAACTTCTGCCGGAACTGTAAGACTTGCCATTTTTTTTCTTCTGTGTGTGGTTAGGAGGATATGATTGTGAAGACTCGAAAATGCAGAGTGATGAGTATGGAGTCAATTTTTTCCACTTCCCTTCTTTTCTTTTTAAAGACACAAAGATCACCTTTGATCTACAATAGGGCCCTCTTTTTTAAAAAAAAAAAAAAAATTCGGCGTGGAGTGGTGGCAATCAAACAAATTAAGCTTATACGTATCAATGAAAGCATAGCCACAAGTTTGATAGAGTTTGTAAGAATAATATTTAGTATGATATATTAATAATGTTTGTAATTAGTTATGTTTATATTCATATTACTCCACCCATCTCATTAATGTGGTATAACTTGACACTGTGTTTAAAGATTTTGAAATTTATAATTTAAAATAATTATTAGATATTTATGTGATGATAAATTATTTCAGTAAAAGTAAATTAAATTATTTCTGTTATATGTACAAAATATTGTATACTGAATAATAGTGGAAAACCCGGTGAGTATACAAAATTTGTAAGATCTCACATTTGAACCAAAAATCAGACCTAATTAATTAATTAAATTAAAGTAATATGATTGTAGAATTTCAATCATTTTCGTAGTAGCCGGCCACATCACATGCCACTACGTGCCACATGTACGTGTTAATTTAATTTAATGAATAAGCATATTGTATTTATAAATATAGTACTATATCTTTTCTCTGGATCTTAAATAAAAGATCCACATATTCTCACACGTGGCCCCTACTCACCATATCCCTTTCACCAAATGCCTACAAAGTTGTTTAGTTCCCATTTATTTCACCTTCTTTCTTTTTTTGGTTAAAGTATTGCTCACGCGGTTCAATAATAAGTGTTCATTATTGACTTGATATAAAAATTAAATAGCCTGATAAAAATAATTTTACCAAATCACCTTTATTAAATATTAGTCATTTGAATATTAAAAAAATGAATAGAATTCAATAGTAAAATTAAAATAGACATAACATGACAAATTATTCATTAATTTTATAAACTGATTAAAAAAACTGCGTCACATATGTTTTTCGTTTCATAATTTCATGTGCTTGTTGCATATTATAAGATTCTAATTTTTAGCATCTTATAGATAGTTATTTTTGCTATGCTCTTCACTTGACTTATTTGCACACAACGGTACAAGAATAGTTACTCTCCCATTTAAAAGATAATGACTTACTTTTCCTTTTAATCGATTTAAAAAGGTAGGATTTTAATTATTTTTTTGATAATATTTTAATTTTAGCTTTTCACATAATATATTTTAGGTCAAAAAATTAAAAGATATTTTAATACATTGCACATAACTTTATTTTAGAACCACAAGATTGATAAATCTTTTTAAATCTTTTTAACTTCATATCAAATCAAACTATATCATTCTTTTTTAAATTGAAAGATTATACAACTAGCTTGATATTTAGGGGGAAAGAAGGCAATTAAACACCATTAATATGTATATATATATTATCTTCTGATTAAATATCTTGCAAGCTCTTCCTTATAAATTTGGTTTGTGAAATAATATATACATATATATATATATATATATATATTCTTAGACGTAAAATTAAAAACAAATTTATAAAAGGTTAAAAAACCATTCATATCCCTAATATATTTTTGTAGTTCCAATATTACCCTCCATTACAAAAGCCCTACACTACAAAAACTTGTTTTCTCTTCTTTTTCTTCTTTCTCCTCCGGCGTTTCTTCACTTCTCCCTGCATATCTTTTCTGCGTTTGTTCTCTGCGATTCTCGGTAAGTTTTTCTCTCTCTGCATTTTTTTCCATGCGATTTTAGTTACGTTTTTCAGCTTCTCTGCGTTTTTCCTCTGTTTTTTGTACTTGATTTTGTTTCTGCTATAAATCTCCCAAAAAAACGAGTGTATTTCAATGTTAGTGATGATTGAATCGTTCAGTATGTTGTTGTTATTGAGTGAATTGTTAAGCTGAAGAGAAAAAACGAGTAAAACTATAAAGAAAAAGTTTTACTCGCGAATTGAATCATGCAACAAATTAGGAGTCGTTTAGTAGCTGGTTTGGAGATGAGTTATGCAAGTATTAAATCCTGCTTAAGTAGTACTACCACGTTTTGTAGCTGGTTAGCTGGTAAGTTTATTCAGGTATAAAATTAGTAGGATGTTTGATATGCATAATTAATACATGTATATGTATAAGTTATGAGTGAATCTATGTATTATTTTGTGCATGTATGATGGAATAACTAAATCCTGCATAACTAATAATACATAAATTCCCAACATAATTCTAACCAGCTAACAAATGATCCCTAAGGATATATGGATTACTATTCACACATACAACTCAAACTTGATTGCATATGTAGATGTAATTAGGACAATGCTAAGCATCCCAAAGGAGAAAAGTGAAAATAAAATATCAATGGAAAACTTTCTCCTCTTGCCTTAGAAAGCACATGCTACAGTATAATATTTGGTACAATGAGATGTAAGAAGCTTTGGAGAACCTTTGACTTTGGGAGTATGGAGTTTTTCTTTGTGTAAATTTAGGAATTAAAAGCCATGAGTTCAATAAACATCATTTCCTTGCATAACAATTTATATTTTGTTGATAGTAACTTATAATTATTTTGTATTTGAATAAATTTAGACTTAAAATTTTTGTAGTAATCAATTCTCTTATAGTGTTAACAACTTTTTTTTAGTTTCTATCTGAATTCGTGATTGCTTATTTATAAAATCAGCTCCAACACTTGAATTGTGCTTTTCAACAATTGATGCTTAAAAGTTACTTGAATACAGCTAATCCAAACGGGTTGATTATTGCTTGTTGATTTGAAGTTACTGTCATAATAGAACCCTCTGTGGAGAAGTCTTGGATCCGCGGCTAAATGGATGAATCCAAAGGAGAAACGAAGTCTTTCAAAGAATTAGGAGTTTGTGATCAATTGATTGAGGCTTGTGATAATTTGGGTTGGAAAAACCCTTCTAAGATACAAGCTGAAGCTATGCCTCATGCCTTTGAAGGTTTTTCAATATTCCCTTCTTTATGTTTATTCATCTTTTTGTTGCTGCATGTTCTAGAGGATTTAGCTTTCTGATAATAATTCAAATAGGTTTAAATTTTTAAGCTGATTATCCTAGTGGGTTTTATGTCTGATTTTGGGTTGTGGGGTTGCAAAACTTCCACTATTCTATTTAGTTTTGCCCTTGGTTGCAAAATAAAATAAGACTAGCTTTACGAATAATAGAAAAGCAACATTTCATTGTCGAACAAATTTGTTGAGAGAGGTAATTAAGTGCTGGGTTTAGTGGTGAATTTTTCAGTCTTCCAGGGGTTTGGGGGTGTTCTGATTTAATTTCCTACGTCTAGGGGAAAATAATTAGTTAATGGATATAATGGTGGTGTAGGTAGGGTGAACTTAAATCCAGATAAAAACAGCTTTATGTTATTGCCTAAAGAGGTGGTATTTGAAGTGATTCAATTTAAGGGAATTGAAGATTTTGGAACGATATATTCTTTTACGAAGAAAAATTGGAATAGCAAGGGGAAGGGTCACGTGAATTTTCCTGTAAAATACTTTTATGAATGCTAGCCTTTCAGAAACCATGTCTTTAAAATGCAAATTTACAACCAAGTTATGGAATATAATGTTGCATTTGAGGAAAATTTAATGGACCGTGCAAAACTCCGTCAATCAAGTTATGTGGGTTGTACTAATAACTAGCAACAGGAGAGTGATTGAGTTGTGATTCCACGTAGCCTGAATCCTGTAGTGATTTTTTTTCTTTTATTTTTTTTGGGGGGTGGGGGAATCCTTTTGCTGTGTAGAGTACATTATTCATAGAGATCCTCTTTGTTTTAATTAACCTTTTGTATATCAACCTCTATTTGGTGAAATCTTATTTTTGTTATAAACAATTTGATTGGTTTTTGTTCCAGGCAAAGACCTAATTGGTCTGGCACAAACGGGGTCTGGAAAGACTGGAGCTTTTGCAATTCCTATACTGCAATCATTATTAGATTCTCCGCATGCCTTTTTTGCCTGCGTTCTCTCTCCAACAAGGTCTCTTATTCTTCTGATTACTTGTTTTATTTTGTAGAAGCTCTTTAATGATTGAAATCCCAACTTTTTTCTTTGCATATTCCAGAGAGCTCGCCATTCAAATTGCT